GATTGCCCAACAGAGAAGCGTGATTGGTCACACCAGAGAACACGCCTCCTCTGCTCTAGAGTCCAGTGGCGGCGTGCTTTACACCACAGCATCCGACGCTTTGCATTGCACTTGGTGATGGAAGGCTTGGATGCAGCTGCTTGGCCATGGAAACCCATTCCATGAAGCTCTCTACACACTGTTGTTGGGCTCATCTGAAGGCCACACCAAGTTTGGAGGTCTTTAGCTATTGACTCTGCAGACAGTTGGTGACTTCTGCGCGCTGTGTGCTTCAGCATGCGCTGACCCCCGCCCTGTCATGTGAGGTGGCCTACCACTTGGTGGCTGAGTGGCTGTTGTTCCCAGTGGCTTCCACTTTGTTATAATCCCACTAACAGTTGAGCGTGGAATATTTAGTAGCCAGGAAATGTCACGGATGGACTTATTGCCCAGGTGACCACCTATCATGGGACCACGCTTGGAGTCACTGAGCTCCTGAGAGCGACCCATTCTTTCACCAATGTTTGTAGAAGCAGTCTGCATGCCTAGGGGCTTGATTGTATACACCTGTGTCCAAGGAGGGGATTGGAACACCTGAATCACATGATATGGAGGGGATTGGAACACCTGAATCACATGATTGGGAGGGGATTGGAGCACCTGAATAACCTGATATGGAGGGGATTAGAACACCTGAATCACATGAAATGGAGGGGATTGGAACACCTGAATCACATGATTGGGAGGGGATTGGAACACCTGAATCACATAATATGGAGGGGATTGGACTACCTGAATCACATGATATGGAGGGGATTAGAACACCTGAATCACATGATATGGAGAGGATTGGAACACCTGAATCACATGATTTGGAGGGGATTGGAACACCTGAATCACATGATATGGAGGGGATTGGAACACCTGAATCACATGAAATGGAGGGGATTGGAACACCTGAATCACATGATATGGAGGGGATTGGAACACCTGAGTCACATGATATGGAGGGGATTAGAACACCTGAATCACATGATATGGAGGGGATTGGAACACCTGAATCACATGATATGGAGAGGATTGGAACACCAGAATCATATGATTTGGAGAGGATTGGAACACCTGAATCACATGATTTGGAGGGCTGGCCCAATACTTCTGGCAGCATAGTGTATATAATATATAAAGTCTTCATATTAAATAATCTCGCACTAGGTGACCTTTATATTGGTAAAAGCTTTTAACAATATGTATTCAAAATGTATCTTTTTTTCTAATGTTTATTGATTATTTAAAGAGAAGAGGGCCATCAGCTGCACAGTGCGCTTCGATTGTTGTTGGAAGGAAGCTGAGAAAATAGCGGCTCTACATCAGAACAAATTAAGAAAGAAAAAAAAAAAGAAAAGCGGATCCATATTTGTTTTCATTTTTCCTGGAAGATTTGGCTCCCCGGTGAGCTCTGTACTTTGTCTTCGGTTTCAGTAATGAGGTAAATGGTACCTGGAAGACTCTGCGCTCGTCTTTGTAATTGTAGCGCATTGTCTTATAATAAGTTAGATTTCCATTCTATCACTTTGATGGACAATTTTCTGTCTTGTCTGGCAGGTGGGGTGTTGGCGGGTGAGATCGAGCGCTCACATTAGCTAAATAAACGTCACCGTTCCGCAGTGAACGGAACACATTGCGTTTTTTTTTTTTCCTTTAATCCGATGAAAGATGTAGATTGCTCATAATAGAACAATTAGCATTCTTCTCGTCTCTCCATTGTTTGAAAGCTTCTTCTCAGCATGCTAATGGGAGCCGGAGACTGAATTGTAGGATTGTATGGAGTAAAGATGGTCTCCATTGGAATCAAACTAGACAAAGAATCAATGACCCTCCAAATGACATCCTACCCCCCCCAATGTAAACCATACCCTGCAACCCATTGGACGAGGCCTCCCCCCTTCCTTCACATACTGCCAGGTACAAAACTGACCGCCACCCATTTAATGTCAATACCCAAAACTGGTCTGTGCCACTAGGTGACCTCCACAATGTACTGTTAGAGCTTGTTGGGGTGGGGCTGAGCTGCAGTTTTACCCCCCCCCCCTTTTAGTTGCAGAGGAAGCAGCTGGAGCTGTGTACATGGCTGTGTACATAAATTAATAAAACCCCCACCTTACGCAGCAGAAGCCATTACACCAGAGCCCACCCCTTCCATGAGGGCCCCCCTTTGACATCAGATTTCCCCCCTTTGACATCAGAGGGCCTCCGTTCCCTTTAGAGCCCATTTCACACCAGTGTCCTCCCTTCACATCAAATTCTCCCTTTCACATCAGACACCCCCCCTCCCCCCATCACATCAGAGTTCCCCTTTTGATATCACTTTGTTTTTCACATCTGAGGTCCCCTTTGACATCAGAATCCTACTTTGATGTGAAGGGGGCCCTCTGATGTCAAAAGGGGGACATTGATGTGATGTGAAAGGGGGCATTCTGATGTGAAAGCATGGACTTGATGTACAGAAAAAGTTGAAAAAGTCTTCCTTCCCCTTGAAATCTCCCCCATGTTGTCATGTTACAATGTATTCCCCCCCATGTTGTCATGTTACAATGTATCCCCCCCCCATGTTGTCATGTTACAATGTATTCCCCCCCATGTTGTCATGTTACAATGTATCCCCCCCCCCATGTTGTCATGTTACAATGTATTCCCCCCCCCCATGTTGTCATGTTACAATGTTCCCCCCCCCCATGTCTTCATGTTACAATGTATTTATCGTGATTGGATGTGATGGACCGACACAAAGTGGCACATAATTGTGAAGTGGAAGGAAAATGAGAAATGGTTTCCAACATTTGTGACAATAAATCTATGAAAAGTGTGGCGGCATTTGTATTCGCCCCCCCAAGTCAATACTTTGTAGGACCCCCTTTGGCTGCCATTCCAGCTGCAAGTCTTTTTGGGGATGTCTCTTTGCACATCTAGGAGGGACATTTCTGCCCGTTCTTCTTTGCAGAATCCCTCAAGCTGTCAGATTGGATGGAGGACGTCTGGGAACAGCAATTTTCAGGTCTGGCCACAGATTCTCCATTGGATTTAGGTCTGGACTGTGACTGGGCCATTCTAACACATGAAGATGCTTTGATCGGAACCATTCCATTGTAGCTCTGGCTGGATGTTTCGGGTCCTTGTCCTGCTGGAAGGGGAACCTCCGCCCCGGTCTCAAGTCTTCTGCAGACTCTCACAGGTTTTCTTCTAAGATTGCCCTTTATTTGGCTCCATCCATTTTCCCATCAACTCTGACCAGCTTCCCTGTCCCTGCTGAAGAAAAGCATCCCCACCACATGAGGCTGCCACCACGTTTCACGGTGGGGAGGGTGTGTTCAGGGGGATGGGCAATGTTAGTTTTCCCCCACACATAGCATTTTGCTTTTAGGCCAAAAAGTTGAATTTTGGTCTCCTCTGACCAGAGCCCCTTCTTCCACGTTTGCTGTGTGCCCCACGTGGCTTCTCACAAACTGCAAATGGGACTTCTTATGGCTTTCCTCCAACAATGGCTTCTTCTTGTCACTCTTCCATAAAGGCCAGATTTGTGGAATGGAAGACTAATAGTCCTCCTGAGGACAGATCCCCCCCCCCGAGCTGTGATCTCTGCATCTCCTCCACAGTTCCCATGAGCCTCTTGGCTGCTTCTCTGATGAATGCTCTCCTTGCCCGGCCGGTCAGTTTAGGTGGACGGCCATGTCTTGGTAGGTTGGCAGTTGTGCCGTACTCTTCCCATTTTCAGGTGATGGATTGAACACAGTGCTCCGTGAGATGGTCAAAGCTTGGGAGATTTTTTTACAATACTTTCGGCAAGATAGTGTAAGAACAGACGTTTATTTCTCAGTGAAGTTCTAGGACCCGCTTGCAGTCTATGTAAGGCGATCTTTATCTCCTCGGTCCCTTCAGTGACATGTCATAGGGCCACCTCTGCTCCACATACATTGCAGTGGCTGGAATCTGCTCCAGGAGAAATGATGACATTGCATTTGTTTCAGAGGAATTTCGTTTTTCCAGCTGGCTGCGAGTTCTGATCACCGGCCAATTAGATGCAGGAGACAGCCAGATTATAACAGAGATGGATGGTTTGCATGGAGAGCTCAGCGGTGTCAATAGAATATTGATAAGTGTCTGGGTGTGGGGTCGTGTACCTACCTGCACTTATGAAATCCTTTCCCATGGCTGGAATTAATAGCTTTGCAGTTTACGATTTAACCTTTTTAGTACTTCTTTCAATTAACGTTTTCTATGTTTTAGGTAAAGGGGAAATTCCCTCCAAATCTTAGAGCTCAGTTTTAATAGGAGTCTGACCAACTGTATCTTCCAGGTATCTCCATGGGGTTCTGACAATGAGATTTTTGTCCTTCCAGAACCCCCTTCGACAGCCACCGCAGTTATGAGACGGTCTAAGTCTTCTCTTTTTGGTTGCTTTGTGGTAAAGCAAGGAACCAGCAGCCCCCGTAGTATATTAAGGTGCCTTTACTAAAGAAGAATGCTGTACATACAAACTACTTGCCACTGTAGCAAAAAAAAATTCAAGACATACAGAGTATTACAAATATTCATACAATCAGGGCTTCTTTTCAGCGGTAACACGGGGCAACGCAGTTCCGGAACCACCAGCACTGAATGTATATAATGGTAAGGGGTGCTGGGGTGTGCTGGGGTGTGCTGGAGAGTCTATTGATGCTGGCTGCTAGGGATCTATTGTCACTGGTGGGAATATATTTTAGCATGGGGTTCTATTGTTGCTGGGGGGTGGGTCTTGCTGAGGGGTCAGTTGTTGCTGGGAGGGATATCCTGTTGAGGGAGGAGTCACTGTTGCTGGCTGTTGGGAGATCTGTTGTTGTTGGGTTGGTATTTTGTTGTGGGGGGGAGGTCCATTGTTGTTGGGAGGGTCTTTTGCTTTGTGGGGGATCTATTGTTGCTGGCTGTAGGAAATCTATGGTATTTTATTGCTTTTCTTATCATTAACAAATTCCAATCAAATTACTTAGCACCACAAAATGATACTTGGTTCTGTATTCTCTAAAAGGGCCGGTACTGGCAGATGGGTAGGGGGTGGAACCAAGGGATGGTGCTCGGAGGTGCGTAGGGGATGGAAATCGAGGGATGGTGCTCGGAGGTGGGTAGGGGGTGGTTACCAAGGGATGGTGCTCGGAGGTGGGTAGGGGTGGAAACTAAGGGATGGTGCTCGGAGGTGGGTAGGGGATGGAATCGAGGGATGGTGCTCGGAGGTGGGTAGGGGGTGGAACCAAGGGATGGTGCTCGGAGGTGGGTAGGGGATGGAAATCGAGGGATGGTGCTCGGAGGTGGGTAGGGGGTGGAACCAAGGGATGGTGCTCGGAGGTGGGTAGGGGGTGGAACCAAGGGATGGTGCTAGGAGGTGGGTAGGGGATGGAAATTGAGGGATGGTGCTCGGAGGTGGGTAGGGGGTGGAACCAAGGGATGGTGCTCGGAGGTGGGTAGGGGATGGAAATCGAGGGATGGTGCTCGGAGGTGGGTAGGGGGCGGAACCAAGGGATGGTGCTCGGAGGTGGGTAGGGGATGGAAATCAAGGGACGGTGCTTGGAGGTGGGTAGGTGGCGAAGACAATGGGTGACTCAAAAGGTAGGGAGTTCCTAGAAAAAAAGTCCTGCATACAATACACATGCACACACTATCTAACCTTCCTAATGCTACCCCCTAAGGAGCCCCTGGATATTTGGATCCCCCTATTTCTTGCACAGCCAAGCAACATGCATTTTCTGCAAACACACAAAGTCAAGAATCCAGTCCATGGGCTTGTCTATGTTGCTTTATTTAGGGGAAAACAACCTGAATTTGGGGCTATGGGATGCCCAACTTGACCAGAAGAACAGACTGAGGACAAACGTCTTGCGTTTATGCACAAAAATTATGATGGATCCTGAATTTTACTCCAGCCGGAGTGATATCAGTCCCTTAAAAGATCAGTAGCAAAGAGATTTCAGGAGTAATATGACTTAAGGTGCTCTAGGTCCCCTTGGATGAACTCTCACAAAGCCCCAAAAGCTGGCAAGGAAATGCCATCCCACCTGGTTGCTTTGGAAGTGTCCCAGAGCAAGGAATAGGTTAGCTGTGACACTTTCCCTGGGAAAGGATGCTGGATATTGCATCTGGAAGCCCTCTCCCTTATAGTCCCTGGGGGTGTCCCTTGTATCCTGTGTTTTTCATAAGACTGCTGGTTCAGGCTACTTAACTATGCTAGTCTTCCATGCTTAGCAGGGTATCCTCTGCTTGTGGTGGATTCCCTTTGCTGGCTAGTCTCTCTCTTATTTATGGACATTATCCTCCACACTCCAGCCTCCTGTCAGCAGATCAGACTCTCGTGGTGCAGATCTCGCTCTCCACCCCTTCCACTCACTAGCTTCTTGAAGGCTAGAAGACTCCAGAACCAGCAGACAGGCTGGCAGCAGTCCAGTACTACGTCGGAGTAGCCGAAACTGGAAGGAAGGTGGCACAGGCCTCCGGCAGGGTAACCACAAGAGCAGCAAGGTAAGGGCGCTTGATCAGTCCAGGCTGGTTCACAGAGGGCAGGCTGGAGCAGGATGCAGGGTCAGATGAGCATGGGGGTCAGTACAAACTGGCAGATCAAGCATAAATGGCAGGCAGAAGAGAAGCGGGGTCGGTCACGGGGCATTGTCAGCAATGGTAGAGGCAGATCAGGCCAGGGAAGAATCTGGAAAATAAGCCAAGGCCATCTCCACCATCAGCAGCTCTGGTGAATACTGGTTAGCATTTAGACCTCGCACTTTGGCTGAGACCGCGTCATCCACCAGGGTAACCTGCTTGTATACCTATCCAGGTGGTCGGTGGGAGCCTCTCTATAGCTACTTGTGTTTGAGCCTGACCATAACACAGAGGCAGCAGTGCCTTAGATGATCTCACACTGCAGAGATACAACTATGAGGTTCATGGCACAGGAAGCTATTTTTCAGAGTACTGTTCAGGCACATTTAACTTTTCTAGATGTTCCTTTATAAGACAACAGATCTTCACTTTTCTTGTACAGGTCCACTTTAAGACCCAAAAAGAGTATGGCTCTCAGCCCTAAAAAGCTCGGCTGTATTTTATTGTAGATCTAAAATTGTACTTGTTATCACACGTCGCACAATTGTAGTACCTGGGAGTGTTTTCTTGTTTATTTGAGTTTTATCAATCTTTCTATCACCAGTACTTTCTTTATAGAGAAGAAATGGGGAAGAAAAATTCAAAAGCATTTCTGGTTGTTTGAACAGAGAAATGACATTTATTAACAGCTACGGGGAAGGCAAAGAAAATGCAATGTTCCAGTTCTGGTTACAGTTCCGGGCAGTTGTGATTACTCACTTACAGTCCCTGTGGGATTCTCGGTTTTCGGCCGTCATGTTGCAGACGTTGAATTGAAAGGTGCTCCGAGTGACTGACAGCCGTAGTCAGATCCAGAACTAAGCCTCCAGAGGCCAGGTGCTGATGGCAGAGGGCCGCTTTCAGATGAAATCTTGTTTAAAAAGAGAAAAAAAAAAAGTCTTCTTGGTGACAGAGGAAAAGCTTGACAGAAAAGGAGCTCATTCTGGGAGAAATCCACATTTTATTTAATTGTGTTTAGGAGTTCAGATAGAACCTTGAAACAAAAGGGTTCGGAGAGCAGGAGATGCGTGGTTCAAGGTTGGTGTCTTATCTGTCGCCTCTTCTGCATCTACCTTCCAACAGGTCCATTACATGAAAGTGACGCTCATTGTTTAATGTTCTGTGTAGCACCCAGAAGGTTACACATTCAACCACTTAAATGAGATCCTTCGTGGTCACTAATGTCTTTCCATGTTGCATGAAGGCGTTTACTCAATACTTTGAATTGTTTCCTTTTTCTATAGTGTTGACATTATTATTGTGTGCAACTACAGAGCTGCTTCTTAAAGTGGTTCCGTCACAAAGAAAGTATGGGAGCTGCCTTTGCTGGTTGCCTCTTGGCTGTGTCTGGCTTCAATGCCTTTGAGTCACTGATATTGAACATGCATGGTGTCACATACCTGGTAGAAGTAAGGTTGAGCTGATGGGAGGGCTTCCCTTTCAACTCACGTCCATTCTTTCCCCCTGGGTTGGAAACTGGGTACAACAGGACAAGGAATGGCACACAGGCCTGTATTAAGTCCTGGCCAGAAGATGGGGGTGATGTGGGAGGACCAGGGGCGGACTGACCATTTAGGCACTCGGGCACTGCCCGAGGGCCCGGGGTCAGTAGGGGCCCCATGAGATGCCCCTGGTACCTTTAATAGGCTTTTTTAGGTGTGGTTTGAGTGTGGGCGAAGACACAAGGGCCCTATGATTTCCTATTGCCTGGGGGGCCCCATGAGTTGTCAGTCTGCCCCTGGGGAGGACTGTGTTGGAACGCATGCAGGAACTCGTACATGTAGAAGACAGATCCATAATCATGCAATCCATAGTCATGCAAGCAGAAATTTGGCAACAACTGGGCAGCGGCGATGCAAATACAGGAGCAGAAACATAAGCCGGGCTGGGGTCAGCATCACAGGGGCAAGAAATGCTTGTAGCACTACCCCTATAGTAACCACTGGTTCTTCCCCAAAAGTACAGATGCTGCCCACCACCGCAAGCATCAGTCCATTCACATTGGCTCCAATAACCCAGTCTAGGGGATGGCTTTTTACAATATATTGCTTGAAGGAACTTTAACAGAAGAGGGGTTAGGGTATGGGACACTCCAAAACGATTAGCGCATAGCAATTAGAGGACAACCCTCTCCTTAAATAGATGTGAATGTTGGACAGTTTAAACCCCACAGCTGAAGACCATGGGGTCACTTTATGAGCAGTGTAAGGCCCCACAGCTGGGGTCCATGAGGCAAGTTTCTGAGCAGACTAAGGCCTCACAGCTGGGGTCCATGAGGCAGGTTTCACAGCTAAGGTCTCACAGCTGGGGTCCATGAGGCAAGTTTCTGAGCAGGCTAAGCTGGGGCCTCACAGTTTCTGAGCAGGGTCACAGCTGGGGTCCATGAGGCAAGTTTCTGAGCAGGCTAAGGTCTCACAGCTGGGGTCCATGAGGCAAGTTTCTGAGCAGGCTAAGGCCTCACAGCTGAGGTCCATGAGGCAAGTTTCTGAGCAGGCTAAGGCCTCACAGCTGGGGGTCCATGAGGCTAGTTTCTGAGCAGGCTAAGGCCTCACAGCTGGGGTCCATGAGGCAAGTTTCTGAGCAGGCTAAGGCCTCACAGCTGGGGTCCATGAGGCAAGTTTCTGAGCAGGCTAAGGCCTCACAGCTGAAGACCATGAGGCATCTGGATATCTTGCACCAATACACAACTACGGGTAATGTGATTTCCAGAACACGGCACAGTCACAGGGATAAATTTAGAGTCTCTACTCACAAGTCCCCAGGACAGCTGCCACCTTCCAGCAGTCCAGTAAGTGAGACAGTCCTTCTCCAGACCAGATCAGTTGTGGTGAGGTCTTGCAATCAGCTATTAGGCAGATCCCTCCAGGCCCTCAGCCCTGACAATGCGGAGGCCCCTGGAACAGCTGCACAGTCCATGGGATGCCTTGGGGCAGCTGTCCCTCAGGCTTTGGAATCCTTCTTGGAAGAAAAAAACCCAGCTCCCTAGTGCTTCAGACTATGTATCAGCTTTCCAGCCCCCTACTGGATGCTCCTCTTCAGGGACTGGCCAGAGCATGACAAATATCCAGGCTGTTTATTTGCATCTCCCTCCTTAGGCTCTAGAAGCTTCCTCCAGTGGCAGGGGGAAGCATTCATACTTCAAGCTTATGAAATCCTAAACAGACGAGGCCAAATGACCACTGCTCCCTTCATTACAGAAGGAGCCAAAACCTAAATTTACCCAGCATCCTACACTAGGAGGTTGCTGCAGGGTACCAAATCAGAAGATGGGAGACAAAGGCAGATCACAGGCCAGAGGCCAATAACTGAAGGATCAAGATCAAGTGACGTCAGCGGGCAAACCAGGTAGAGCACTGATGAAGCAGAAAGCAGGTCTGGTCCCAGGTCCCAGTTGCTGATGACCACTTAGCACTTCCCTTGAGCTCTGCCATGCTTTAAATAGACCACTAGGTGCCAATGCCAGTTCTGGCTGTGTGCGTTAGTTCACATTAATGTGCATGCGCACAACCGTGATTATATGCACAGACGCCTAGGCTGTTCCATGCGCATGCACAGATATCCAGGCACAACAACTTACTCGGTTTTCTTGACAAATCATGTAAATTAAGTGTTAGAGAAGTATAATCATTTATTTTCCCCAAACATGTTCCAGATTTAGAGACCCAGAGAACTTAAACCCAGTGAATCAGCATGACATCCATATAAATGATAGGGGTGAGCCAATGGTTCAGTCCATGTGCCTGAACATTTTCCTATTGACCCCCCTCCCCCCCACCCCAATCCCTGTACAGCAGGAGCTGAGCATCAAATATAGAAACTGTATTG